GAGTAACTACCGCTCTGAGTATAGGTCAGGTTCATCATGAAGATGTATCTTCCTTCTGTCACTGTAGCTGTTCCAGTCTGCTTGTCCTTTCTAGCGGGAATGTCTCATGACAATCTTTTTTAAATCATCAATTTCCAATGAAATACACACATGTCAAACCAAGGCTTCCAAAAAGCCGGCATAATATAGTGACTTTTCATATTGTGTAATTTTATCCTTTAGTAACTTCCCAAACACTGTCTTCTCTTGAAGATGGGTTCATAGCATCTATTCCATCAACTGTATTATTAACACCAAAAGTGTCTTTTGCTAATTCAAGGTCTGCCTCTTCCTGAAATTTCTTTAGTCGCAGTTTGTCTGCTAGTTGTTCTTGTGGTGTAAGCACTTTAGGTTCTTCTAACCTCTTTTTAATTTCTTCTAGCCTTTTCTTTTGTTGCCATTCTTTTTCTTTGATCTTCTCTGATATTTTTTAATTTTCTGAAACTTTTACTTCTGGCTTTTCTTCAGTTTCTTCTTTCTTTTCTTCATCATCATCATCCTAGTTATCCTTGACGTCTTCATCCCCCTCCTCGCCTTCCCAGCGGTCCCCGCTGGCGGTGCCGCCGCCCCCCACTTTACGCACCAGGTCCACCACAGAGAACGGGTCAGCGTCCCAGGAATCGGAGTCCCCAGCAGCTGCTGCCCTCATTATCTCAGCCTGGTGTGAGCGTGTGCAAGGGGGATGTAAGCCCCATTTTTGTTTTGATTTGCATTTCTCTAATGGCTAGTGACTGTGAACATTTAGTCACATGTTTGTTGGCTGCCGGGATCTCCTCCTTGGTGAAGTGTCTGTTCATGTCCTGTGCCCATTTTTTAATTGGGTTATTTGTCTTTTTCTTGTAGAGGTGTTGTTGTTGTTGTTAGGTGCCATTGAGTTAGTATCGACTCATAGTGACCCTATATGCACAGCAGATGACACACTGCCTGATCCTGGGCCAATCTCACTATTGTTGCCATGCTTGAGTCCATCAATGCTGCCACTTGGCCAATCCATCTCATTGGGGGTCTTCCTCTTTTTCTCTGACCCTCCACCTTACCAAACATGATATCCTTCTTCAATGACTGGTCCCTCCTGACAATATGCTTGAAGTATGAGAGACGAAGTTTGGCCATCTTGGCCTCCAAGGAGCACTCTGGCTGCACTTCTTCCAAAATGGATCTTTTGGCAACCCATGGCACTTTCAATATTCTCCTCCAACACCATACCTCAAAAGCATCAGTTCTTCTACGGTCTTCCTTATTCATGGTCCAGCATTCACATGCATATAGTTTCCTATATATTTTAGAAATGAGTCCCTTGTCTGATGTGCCGTTGTAAAAGATTTTTTCCCATTCTGTGGGTTCCCTTTTTACTTTTCTGGTGAAGTCTGTTGATGCACAAAAGTTTTTAATTTTTAGCATTTCCCAATCATCTATTTTGTCTACTTTGTTTGTGTAGTTTTCAAGATGTTTGGTAGTCTGTGTATTCCCTGAATTAGTGATAGTTGGGGCATTCTTGTGCATCTCCCCTCACTTCCTATCAGTTGGATGCTTCACTCTTAGCTTTAGGGCTTTAGATCATTTTTGCGTTTCATTCTGTTCTTCCTTATAAGAATCACTCACTCCCCAAAGCAAGAATCATTTTTTAAATCCTCAGTCATCTACTAGCACACAGTAGCCACTCAATATACATTATTTACTAAGTAATGACTGTAAGTACAGGCTATTTGACACGCATTCTTTGAAGCTCTCGAAAATTTTCTAATATCTCAAGAGATCGATTTTGTGTTTCCCTTTTCCTGTGTTTATTATTATTTTTTATTTAAATATTAGCATAAAAAAAGCTTACCTGAACCTTCACCCAATTCACAACAAAAACTTAAAAAAAACAAAAACAAAAACCAAAGCTCACCTGTCCAGGCCACCAACCATCAGAAGCTGTTTAAACTGTTGAGGACTCTGAGGGAGAGAATAAAACTTTCCAGGTTCCCTTGATGGTACCACAAACTCTTTTGCACCCTTTTAATGAAAAAGAGGTAGAGAGAGACAAAGGAGAAAAATTGTTTAAATAAAAACAAACAAAAATTTTTTAAAATTAAACTCGTTTTAGAAATCCATATTCAATAAATAGATATTCATATTCAATAAATAGATATCCAAGTTTAAGATGGTCAGTTCTTAGAAAATCAAAGTCATTAATGATTTATATCTATAAACCTCTCAAGAACACTCACGTAGAAGAAAAGGATTCGGACATAAAGCATTAATCTACATAATTTTCTCAACTTTATTTATTTATTTTTTTACTTTTTACTGTGAATTGAGTGAAGGTTTATAGACCAGATCATCAGTTTTGCATTCAATAAATCATATACTTTGTTTCATCTCAATGATTACAATCCCCTCCATGTAACAACAGTTATCCCGCTTCCTCCCTGTGTTCTAATTTCCATTCCACCCACCTTTGCATCCCTTCTCAACTTGTTGCTGTTGTTGTGAACTGCTGTCAAGTCGGTTCCGACCCATAGCGACCCTGTATAGGGTTTCCGAAGAGCAGGTATTGAGCTTGAACTGCCAACCTTGCAGTTCAAACGGCTTTGCAGTCTGGCGCATTAACCCACAGCACCACACCGGGACTTCTCAATTTAGTCCTAGGTAAATGTTGCCCTTGTGATTTTGAATGACTGACCAGTCCATGGTGAGCAGATCTTGCTAGTGTTATTGTCCCCCTTATATACCTATTTACTGCTCGGCTGAAAATTGGGCCACAAGGGTGAGTTCCCTTCCAGACCTGAAGGGTGGTTGAGGGCTACAGTCTCAGGTTCCTCCAGTCTCCTTCTGACCAGTAAACCGGTTTTTATTTTTAATTAAATAAATTTGAATTTTGTTCCACATTTTCTCCCACTCTCTCTGGAACCCTCTAATGTGATCCCTTTCAAGGTGATTGGTAGTAGTAGCCGGGCACCGTCTAGTTCTTCTGGTCTGAGGGTCGTGGAGAATCACCAATGTTCACATGTTCCACTAGTCCATTGGTCTAATTCATTCCAAGCCTCTTCAATTCTTATCACTCATTTCTTGTGAACATGGAGATACCAACAGCTGTCCCTTAGATGGCTGTTCATGAGCTTTCAAGATCCAAGATGATATTCACCTGAGCAGAATACAGACTATTTTCTTTGTGGACTATGTTATACCAGTTGACCATCAAGTCGCTGCCTTAAGATGTTTGACATTTAGAAAGTTTCCACCATGTTGCCCACTATATACTCTACCACATTCACAGTTGTGTTTGCAGGCAAAATAGATACTCACGTACAAAAATTCTTTTTCAAACTCATATTTTTTCTCTTAGGCATTCAGCCTATGTCACCATCCATGTACAGAACCATGCACAGAACACTGGTGTTCCAAGGTTGTGTACGTATCACTATTGACCTCTATCCCCTTTAGCCCATGCATACCTCCCTGTGTCTTCACCTATCTTCATCATTCTTTGCCACCCTCCTTCTTGTATATTGCCCTCTTCATCACCTGAGCTGGAGTCCTGTTGTGGCACTGTGGTTAATGCACTGGACTGCAAAGTCAGTTTGCACAGCAAGATCGGTGATTTATGTTCACTAGCCACTCCTCAGAAATCCTATATAAGGTTACTATGAGTCAGAATCGACTTGATGGCATTTAACAACAATATCACCCGAGCTAACATGTGTCTACCCTCTAGCCCAAGGGTAGGGAACCTTTTTTCTGCCAAACTTTGTAATATTATTCATGTGCCATACAGAAAATTATCAACTTAAAATTAGCCTGCTATATTTGGTCAAAGATTTAATTAACTCGCTCCTGGTGTGACACTGTAGGATCAGCACTCAACTGTGAACTACAAGGTCAGCAGTTCAAATCCACTAAGTGCTCCTTGGAAACCCTACACAGGGTCGCTATGAGTCAGAATCGACTGGACAGCACTTAACAACAACATGATGGCTGGAAGTGCGGCTATCTTGGCAGGACCAGACCAAATGATTTCTTGGACCTTACACTGCCAGCGGGCCAGATGTTTCCCACTCCTGCTCTAGCCAGTGAATTACTTTCTCCTCCCTCCCACCCCTGGTAACCATCAAAGATTGTTTCTGTTAGTATGGAAACCTTTTCTTAAGTTTTTACAATAACGGTCTCATGGAATATTTGTCCTTTTGTGATTGATTAATTTCACTCAGCATGTCCTTTAGGTTCATCCAAGTTATGAGGTGTTTTGCAGATTCATCGTTATTTTTTTAACATTGCATCGTATTCCATTCTGTGTACGTACTAAAGTTTGTTTATCCTTTCTTCCATTGATGGTCACTTAGGCTGGCTCTATCTTTTTGCTCATGAGAATGAACATCAGTGTGCAAAGATCTATTAGTGCCTTTTCTCTTATTTCTTGTGGATACATATCAAGTGGAGGGATTGCTGTGCCATAAGTTTTTTCTACTTGCAACTTTCTGAGCAAGTGCCATTTTCCAGAGTGGCTGACCCATTTTAGAGTCCTATCAGCACTGTAGGAGGGGCCCAGTCTGTCCACACCCTCACCAGCATTTGTTGTTATCTTTTAAAATTTCGCTGTTAATGCTGGTGTGAGATATTTCATTGCTGTTTTGATTTGCATCTCTCTAATGGCTAATGATCATGAATATTTCTTCATATGTTTGTTGGCTGCATGAATGTTTTTCATGTCCTGTGCCCATTTTTTAAAAATGTTTTATTGTATATTATGTGATAATTTACATGGGAGAGCATTAGTTTTACATTCATTCTATCGTATATCGTTTCATTGCCATGGTTACAATCCCCTTCATGCATCATCAACCAACCAAAGGGTATACCCTGCAAATCTGCCCGCCCCCCTCCCAGTCATCATCACACAGCCCCTCTCCCTCTCTGGATCTAAAGTCCCCAGCTGCTACATTTCTCCACGTCATCGTCTCTGCCTCCATCTCAAGCATCACTGCTTCTCTGGGTAGGGTCCCGTTCTTGGCTCTTCTCCGTTGATGGTCCTAGGGACCTCCGCTCCTAGACTGGAAAGTTAACCACTCCCCTCCTTGCTATAAAATGTTTACCTTTAAATTTTCAACCCTTACAATCAGTCCTGATAACAATTATTCACTATTGTATCACAAAAGACCTATATGCATTTCATTTCATCAGCCCTGCCTAGACAGATTGGATACTACTCACTGGAGATTCTACCTTCCTCCAAGCCCTCTGGATCTAGGTTCCCTCTTGAAAGCTTGTAAGCCAGTCACTTCTTGCCTTTGTAGCCCAACCATTTTGGGTAGCCAATGTGCAAGTTGCCTATCCCTGTCTACTGTGTGTGGAGGGGGTGGGAATGATTCTTGCTGTAAGGATTTGTTTCCTCTTTTGAGCTACTGCATCGATAGGTGTAGATCAAGTTCATCAAATTGTATCAGATTACGCTTTTTTTCCTCTTCTTTCTTCTTCTGGTTGAGCTCTGATCATCCAGTCATTGAAGCCAGGTCAAGTGGGAATTATCTGCAAGTGTGGGTGTCCTTGTGCAGATCCCCTCTCTGCTTATCATCTGGATGCTTCACTTTCCACTCTAGTCCTCTGTGGCTATGTCACTGACTCTGGGCCCAAGAGTCTCCAGGTCTAGCCACACTGCTGGCCGACCAGGTCTCCACCTGGGTTCACAGGAGTCTATTGATAATTGTAGGGCTTAGCTCACTGCTTCATTGCTGTTTTTCCCTCACTTCCCCTTATGGGTGATGAATGTGGTCACCAATCAAAGCATGTATTCCCATTGAGTCTTAGTCTTGGAAGGGGGTTTGCACTGAGGGGACCCGACCACTTGCCTTGATGTCTCCTGGGCAAGCAACTTGCTTGTTCTTATAGTAACAGTCGGTCTGCCTCTATTGTTTTGTATTTGTCCTGTAGGTCTTTCTTTCAAGAAGTATCTTCTGTTCTTCTAGCCACTCCAGGCTGGTCTGCTCATCCTTTCAAGTGGAAATTTCCCATCTCTGAAGATCTGGATGTGGTTCAGGCTTCCACCTATAGTCCTACGTAATGCAGAGGCTCCGCAGGAAGCCTCCTTCACTGGCTGTGCCCATTTTTTAATTGGGCTGGTTTTCTTTTCTTATAGAGATGTAGTTTTCTATAATTTTTTTTTATATTAGTTCCTTGTCTGATATGTCATTGCAAAAAATTTTTTTCCCAGTCTGTGTTGTTGCTGTTAGGTGCCATCGAGTCGGTACCGACTCATAGCAACCCTATGCACAACAGAACGAAATACTGCCCAGTCCTGGGCCAACCTCACAATTGTTGCCACACTTGAACCCATCAATGCTGCCACTTTGCCATCCATCTCGATAGGTGTCTTCCTCTTTTTCTCTGACCCTCCACCTATAGGATTCCTTTTTACTCTTTTGGTGAAATCTTTTGATGCACGTAGTTCCTAATGTTTAGGAGGTCCCAGTCAACTATTTGTCTTCTACTATTTGTGTGTTTTTTGGTAATATTTGCTAATTTTTTCAATTCTTAAGAAGAGCTGGCTAATGTAGACATCCTGAGAGTATGAGTTGAAGCCAATTTGCCTGCATGAATATGGGTGCAGTCATTTTGAAAATTTAACTATTCTGTTTGGCTAAAAGTAAACATTATCAAACACTGCCTAAAAGCATCTTATAAACCCCCATCCATTCCTGACCTTGTCATATATATGCTTTAACCATAGTTAGAATGTCGATGGTTACCTAGTCCGGTCCCTGTTAGTGTAGGTTCTGATGAGGACTAGCCATCTGATCAAATAAGCAATGGGAGACTTAATCATGTACTGCCTTGTGATGTGTTTATTGGGGCACCATGACTACTTTGTAACATAGTGAGACTGTTACAATGATAAGATTATATCCCACCTGTATGTTGTACTACTTAACAATGTTAAAACTAGTATAAATATTGCTTATAAATAAGAATCTTCAAATAACAAACCAGTCTTTTTGTTGGCAGCTGTGTTCCACTAGTTGTCTTCGGAATAATAAAGGCTCTTCTTTTTCTTTGTCTATCTGGAGTCTTTGTTAATTGAACTCAATTACTTCAGGGCATCAGATGATTCAAGCTTTAGGGTAAGGATCCTGAAGCAATAAAATAAAAAGTAGGCCAAGTAACTGGCCCAGTTTCATAACTAAAAGGGTATTATTTGTGTGTGCCGTTGAGTCAGTTCTGACTCATAACAACCTTGTATAAGGTTTCTGAGGAATATCTGGTGAGCTTGAGCTGCCTACCTTGCAGTTCAAACCAACGTTGTAGTCAGCGCATTAACCCACAGTGCCACACAAGGACTCAGGATATTATTAGTAGACCAATTTAAGGAATATACATACCCCTGGAGTCTTCTTGAACAACGTTGGTGTTTCAATATCTACAAACCCTAAAAAGACAGAAATATCAGCGTTTAGTAGATAAGAATTTGGAATCTGTCAAGTAACAGTGTCTAGAGTTCACTTTTCTCTCTGTTTGTTGTACTGTGGTGACTTATATGTCGCTGAGATTCTGGAAGCTATACCACTGGCATTTTAAATACTAGCAGGGTCACCGATGATAAACAGGTTTCAGAGGAGTTTTCAAACTGAGACAGACGAGGAAGGAGAGGTAAACTACTTCTGAATGGTTACCCACTGAAACCTTATGAATAACAGTGAAACACTGTTAGATATAGTGGTGGGAGATGAAAACATTCTGACTAGAGGCAGCAGAACATTGTCAGACATGGTGCCAGCAGATGAGCCCCTCAGGTTGGAAGGCACTCAAACTGTGACTGGGGAAGAGCTGCCTCCTCAGAGTAGAGTTAATTGAGATGACACGAATGAATGGAGTAAAGCCTTCAGGATCTTCATTTTCTAATGGGCACAACTCAAAATGAAGAGAAGCAGCTCCAAATATCCACTAATAACTGGAATGTGGAGTGTATAAAGCATGAATCAAGGAAAATGGGAAGTCATCAAAAAATAAATTAAACATAAAGATCGATATCCTAGGCATTAGTGAACTGAAATGGACTGCTATTGGCCATTTTGAATTAGACAATCATATGGTTTTCTATACCAGGGATGACAAACTGAAGAAGAATGACATTGCATTCATCATCAAAAAGAACATTTCCAGTTCTATCTTGAAATACAATGATGTCTGTGATAGGATAATACCCATACACCTACAAGGAAGACTAGTTAATAACACTATTATTCAAATTTATGCATCAACCACTAAAGCTAGTGATGATGAAATGAAAGAATTTTACCGACTTCTTCAGACTGAAATTGCTCAAACATGTAATAAAGATTCATTGACAATTACTGATGATTGGAATGTGAAGGTTGGAAACAAAGAATAATAATCAGTAGTTGGAAAATATAGGCTTGGTGATAAAAATGATGTTAGAGATTGCATGATAGAATTTTGCAAGCCTAATGACTTATTCATTGCAAACATTTTTTAAACATAAAAAATCACATGGACCTCACCAGATGGAATACAAAGGAATAAAACTGACTACATCTATGGGAAGAAAGAGTTCCATATCATCATCCAAAACAAGGCAAGGGACAAACTGTGGAACAGACTATCAATTGCTCACATGCAAGTACAGGCTGAAGCTGATGAAAATTACAAGTCCATGAGAGTCAAAATATGAACTTTAACATATTCCACCTGAATTTACAGATCATCTTGAATTAGACACTAAAGATCAAAGACCAGAATTATTGTGGGATGTCATCAAGAACATCATACAGGAAGAAATAAAGATGTCATTAAAAAGACAGGGAAAAAAAAAAGACCAAAATGGATATCAGGAGAGACTCTGAAACTGGCTCTCCAGCACAAAGAAGCCAAAGTGAATGGAAGAAATGAAGAAATGTAAGAGCTGAGAAAATTTCAAAAGACAGCTCAAGAAGGCAAATTCAAGTATTATAATGAACTGTGCAAAGACCTGGAGTTAGAACACCAAAAGAAGGAACACACTTAGCATTTCTCAAGCTCAAATAACTGAAGAAAAAAATTCAAGCCTCGACTTACAATATTGAAGGATTCTATGGGCAAAATAAGGAGCTCTGGTAGCATAGTGGTTACAAGTTGGGTTGTTAATCTCAAGGTCAGAAGTTGAAAACTATCAGCGGTTAAGCGGGAACAAGATGAGGCTTTCTGCTCCCATAGAGATTTACAGCCTCAGAAACCCTGTGCCGGGTGGCTATGAGTTGGAACTGACTCCATGGCACACCACCACCACCATGGGCAAAATACTGAATGAAACAGAAAGCATCAGAAGAAGATGGAAGGGATATACAAGTCACTGTAACAAAAAGAAGTGATATTCAATTATTTCAAGAAGTAGCATATGCTCAAGAACTGAAGGAAGAAGTCCAAATTATACTAAAAGCACTAGCAAAAAACAAAGCTCTAGGAATTGATGGAATACAAATTGAAATCTTTCAACAAACTGATGAAGCATGGGAGGTGCTTGCTCAGTTATGTAAAGAAACTTGGAACACCACTACCTGGCCAACCAATTGGAAGAGATGCATATTTCTGCCTATTTCAAAGAGAGGTGACCCAACAGAATGTGGAAATCATCGAGTAATATCATTAATACCACATGCAAATAAAAATTTCCTAAAGATAAATAAAAATGGCTGCAACAGTACATCGACAGCAAACTGCCAGAAATTCAAGTCAGATTCAGAAGAGAACATGAAATTAAGGATATTATTGCTGATGTCAGATGAATCTTGGCTGAAAGCAAAGACTATCAAAAATAAGTTTACTTGTGCGTTATTGACTATACAAAAGATTTCAACTTTCTATGAAACATGACAAGCAATGGATAACATTGCGAAGGATGGGTATTTCAGAATACTTGATTGTGCTCATGATGAATCTGTACGAAAATCAAGAGGCAGTCTTTAGAACAGAACAAGTGGTTTAAAATCAGGAAAAGTGTGTACCAGGTTGTATTCTTTTACCATACTTATTCAATCTGTGTGTTGAGTAAGGAATCTAAGAAGCTGGATAATATGAAGAAGAATGGAGACTCATTAACAACCTGTGATATGCAGATGATATAAATTTGCTTTTTGGACATGAAAAGGACTTAAAATATTTACTTACGAAGATCAGACTACAGCCTACAGTATGGATTGGACTTTAGTGTAAAGAAAACAAAAATGCTCACAACTGTAAATAACATAGTGATAAATGGAGAAAAGATTGAAGTCAAAGACACTCACAGAAGCAATAGTCAAACAATCAAAGAATGAATTGCATTAGGTAAATCTGCTACACAAGACCTCTTTAAAATGCTCAAGAGCAAAGATGTCAGTTTGAGGACTAAGGTGTGCCTGCCAAAAGTCATGATATTTTCAATAGTATCACATGCATGTGAAAGTTGGACAGTGAATAAGGAAGACTGTAGAAGAATTGATGCATTTGAGTTATGGTGTTGGAGAAGACTACTGAAAGAACCATGGACTGCCAAAAAAACACATAAATATGTGTTGGAAGAAGTATAGCCAAAATGCTCCTTATATGTAGGAGGGCAAAACTTTGTCTCGCATATTTTGGACATGTTATCAAGAGACACCAATCCCTGGAGAGGGGCATTATACTTGTTAAAGTGGAAGGTCAGTGAAACAGAGGAAGACCTCTAACAAGATGGATTGGCACAGGGAGAGTACCAATGGGCTCAAACTAATAGCATTTGTGAGGTTGGCCCAGTAGCAGGAGGTGTTTCGTTCTGTTGTGCATAGGGTCTGTATAAGTTGGAACTGACCCAATGAAACCTAACAACTAGCCTAATAAAGTTCAACAAATCTGAGTCTACCCTTTAATTAGGAATTTTTGTTAAAATAAATTACCATGTGAAGGATCTTTCCCCTGATCAACAGAATGGCATTGCAACTACCCCCAGGTGACACTGAATGGGGTCCTGCTTGAGCTTCAGATCTCCCTGGCAGCTTGGGTCTTTGTTACACCTGGAGACCCTCCCCTAGGAAATTCCAGGTTTCAGGAAAATCTCCATACCCCTGCCCAAATCTCCATATCTCCGCCCATTGTAAACTCACCAGACTGTACCCAGACCACATGGCCTATAAATACCCCAGTCTGGAAGAGAACAGATGGGCTCTTGATCTCCTTTGGTGATGTAAGAATACCCCCTCCCAGGTTTACTCTCAATAAACCTGCCTGCTGTTTAAGCCAAGACTCTCTCCTTCATCTCTTTCTTTCTTTTCCTTACAATGTCTATTGGTGTTGATTTTTAAAAGTTCAATTAGCTGAAGATTTTTCTGAAAATACTATTTTGTTCATAATGTTAACACTTACGATATGGATTAATGTGAATACTCATTGATGTCGTGAAACAAAAATACCAGGAAAAAATAGGACTTATTGCTGTGTGTAGTTTAGCCCACATATTTCTGAGCTACCAAGAAATGATGTATAGGTATGATAAAGAATTAAGGAAACTTAGAGAAAATAACCAAAATGTTGTCCTATTTTCAACAATGAAAGGAAATAACTATGTAACATAATGTAACAGGCACTATAGGAGCTCTGGTAGTGTAGTGGTTATGAATCGGGCTGCTAACCTCAAGGTCAGCAGTTCGAAACTACCAGCTGTTCCATGGGAGAAAGATGAGGC